CAATCTTAAAGATCAAAATTAATTGATATAAGAAACGCCAATCCCCGGCAACGGCGCCAAAAACTTGATACTCTCCGGCAAGTATACCGATCGCACAAGTAATATAGAAAGTAAGTAAAGTATCGTCTCCACAGGGATTGGGTCGATTATCAATTAATATTCGTTTTAAGAATGGAAGGGTTCAAATGGTTTTTGACAAATATTGTCGATTTGTGTAAAATTGAGAACTGAAATAAAGATTTGTTTTTGTAATTTTTCTGTGATGAAGAATAACAATATGAACAAGAATAATTTGATTTATAAAAATGAGAAAAACATTGCAGCCAGAGCGCACTCACCTTATGATCCCCACTTATTACTTTGGATTGATTTAAAAATATTCAATTATATAAATACTCAGATAATTATCATCTAAAATTAATTAGTTAAATTCCAATCCCTTGGCAATTTAACCCTTTAATCTCAATTGGAATCCTAATCCCTTAGCAACCCCTCATGAGAATTAAGCAATGAACACGATAATTCAAACATCTGCAATTCAATACACATCCATTCCTAGCATGCATATGAACCGTTAACCTACCCCTTTTCAGGATGAAAACCCCAATATTTCTATCTAGGGTTCTAACCCTCAAACTATCAGATTGATCAATTCTAATAAAGAGAATATAAATTTCGCACAAGGTAAAGGTAAAGAACTTTATATAAACGAGTAGAAATAAACCAATCCGTCGTAACAAGGGTTCACATAGGGTTTGTGACCCTTACTACAATAAAAGTAAACTAGCCAAACATAATCATGGCTAAAAATCCAATATTCATAAAAACATAAAGTAAAAGAGAAAGAAGAAGAACAAGAATTTCTCTCCGGAGCTCTCTTTCTGACGCACGATGGTCTCCTTAGGTCCCGAATACCTAATTCTATGTTGAGCCTCCTTTTTATAATCTTCTTTTTCATTTTCCAAAATTACCCTTTAGGAAGCCCAGTCTGTGATTTCGTAATCTGGCGCTCTCAGCGTCAGATCCACGCCAAGAGTGTGGCTGCCTCTGAATCTTCACGCCATCAGCGTGATATCCACGCTATGAGCGTGGGAGTTTCTGGTTCTTCACGCCATCAGCGTGAAATCCAAGCTATGAGCGTGGATTTTCATTTTGGCAAGTCTCCATTTGGCTCCAGTTTTGTCTGCTTTTCCTACAAAATCAACATAAAGTCAGTTGAACAATCTTTGATTGCGATTTATCAAATTAATAGTAATTCTAGCCCTTTTTCTCCAAGATTAATGAAGATTTCTTTCTCACTTTGGCTAAAAATCATATATATGCTAGAGGCATATCAGAAGCTTTGTGTGACTTATTTTCTCCTCTTAAAGACATAGACTAGCAGCTGCAATCAAGGGAAAATTAGGGGTTTTGAAGCTTGTTTGAAGTATAATTGATGATATAGTCTTCTTGAAGTGATTTAAGGTATTAATCCTAACTTTTGATGGTTGTTTCCTTCAATTTTTAAATTAGGGTTAATGAAAAGGGGGATGACTTTGTATGATGTTAAATCATAAATATATGTTGTGTTTTGATGAGTATGGAGTTGATTGGGTTAAGTTTGAATCTTAGAAGTTGAATGAAATTCGTGAAACATGTAGACCTCAAATCTGGCTTATTTTTCAAAAATTCATATCTGGAGTTATAGACCTCCAAATTGAGAGTGGTTTGTTGAAAATTAAATCTGCACATGTCTAGTATAACATACTAAAATTTCAGGGAAAACAGATACGAAATGGATTTTTGGTGAATTAAATGGTGCGGACTATTTAGGCTGGAAATTAAGTTACTATTTTAGCCATATTGAGTAAAAATGGTTTGGAAGCTTGTTGGCTTATGTTTTAAGGATATTTGGTGCTAAATGAATGAATTAGTTGATTCACTAGTTAAAAGCATAGATTGGTTATTGACACTTTATGTGATCATTGAGCTTAATAATGGAATATAAAGTTAAGAGTTGTTTTGTGTAGTCTTTGGTGAAGAATGGAATGCATGGTAACCTTACTAGTACCATTCGGCCACTATGTGGTTATGTGATCTAGGTATGGTTTTTAATTTAATTAAATGTTTGGTTGAATAAATCAAGTAAAATCAACTGTATGTTATGTATGGTAAAAGTGTGGAAACCTAAGTTAACCTATAAGTTAATTGAATTAGGTTAAATATGTTAATATGTAAGAATTTAAGTATATGTCTAAGTTTGTGTATTGACATAAAGATCATGTTTGAATAGGTGATCTTCACGGTTACAGATATACGAATAACTTTAGATCCCAATATATTACTGTGAATCCTAACCCTCTTTATCCATATATGATTGGCCAGATCATACAAGAATTTAAACATGCAAATCAAGATAAACACAAATAATTTGAGACAGTTTATTAATAAAAAGAATTAAACCAAAACAAGTATTCACGTCGGATATATATTTCTAACTACAAAAGAAACTTAGCCAGACATAGCTGGCTTAAACAAAACAAAGAATGAAAAGAAAGAAGAAGAAATCAATGGTGCTCAAATTCTTCAAGTTCCTCTCTCTCTGAGCTTCTCCAATCTCCGGCAAAAGCTTCTCTGTATTCTGAATGTGCTAGCCTCCTTTGTGTTTCCAAGAGTTGCCTAATGAAACCATATCTTTTAATTTCCTATAAGTTCTTTAATGGAATCTTCACTAGAATATCTAATCATATCTTTAATAAAATCATTAAAATCTTCCCTTTTATATTTAAAAGAAAACTTTCCTTAAACATATACAAGAGAATATTAAATAAGATCTTCAATCAATTATATGATTCAGAAATCCAAAGAAAATCCACTTGAGCTCTCCAATTTATCTCTTTATTTAGCTGAAAATTACTTTAAAATATAAAAAAATTTATGAGAATAAAATAACAATTTAATTACAATTCTCATATCTTTTAATTATTTTAAATCAATTTCATACTCATATTAACCCTTAATACACAATAAATTGGAGACACATCAATTTGATCCCTGAGTTAGTCCAATTTACAGCCGTTATGCTGTCCGTAAAGACTCTATTCGAAATTGTATAAATTATCATATTCGAATAATGATTTGATCATTAATTATGGTCACAGGTTTATTAAGTATGGGTTCTATGCAGGTATGAGACTGTATAGGTTATGTTATATTCAAAAATAAATTATGCATGACGTTACGTAAAGATAATTTAAAAAGAAAAAAATTAAGTCACTAGTTATTTAAGTAATGGTGAAATATTTGCTTAAGTCTTCCAATTCAGAATTTAATTATTCTGCATTTTAAGTACCATAGATGAGTTAACAAATCGACGGCTGATGGGTGTTGTGTCATTTTAAATGAGAAAAAGATAAATCATGAGAGAGAGAATGAGTGGAAGAAGTTTTAAAGATATGGATCCCACTTTGTGAGAGTGAAATGATATAAGGTGTGTCATTTAAAATGACACACCTCTTTCCCTAAAAAAAATTACAATTTGCATGTGTAATTAAAAAAAATAGGATTTAAACTTTATCCATTATTTTATTATTTTGAATTACGAATAAAGCAATTATTATTATATTTTCAGCCTTATCTTTATTTATTCTCATCTTTTTTTTGTTTGTAAACTATTTATTCTCGTCTTTAATATTGACGACTTCGGTTTATATAAACTTCCCTAACTATTTTAATTACTTTATCTTTTGCTGTTTTTTTTTTCACCTCACTTCGTAACTCTTTCACAATATTAGTTGTCTTTTATGTTTTTTATTTTATTTCAAATTATTTTCAATTTTTTATTATGAATTAAGTATTATTCGTTTTTCAAGTCTTACACTTTTATATTCTCATCTTTAATGTATTTAATTACTTCATCTTTTTTTCACTCATCTCATTTCTTGACCTATCAGATAATCCAATACTTATCTCTAAATTACTTATATTATGAAATGGAAAGCCAATGGAATAGTGGTAAGGGCTCGGGAATTAGTTAGGTTTAAATTTAGGGTTTTATTTTTCTGCAAGATAAAAAGATTTATCTGCGACACTTATCGTCAAAATCTGATATCGGATCCTAATAAATATGAGTATGTTAATTTTGCCGAATTAGAAATACTTTTGCCTTAAATTTAAATATCATATTCCTCTATTAATTTTATATTATATTTATCCACTGATCTTGGTTTTGAGACTCCGTATTATGTTTAATGTTTAGGAAAAGGAAAATGTACAAATAGTCCATAATTCTAAACGGAAACTTTCGGAAAAGGAAAAAGTTCCTTGGGTTGAATTTGTATCCTCACATGATTTGATTCAAAGTATTTCAACCCATTTAAATTAAAAATTAAATATTCCTTAAGCATTAAAAATGGCCCATCTGTTAAATAATTTCCAAAATCTTCATTCTAACACTATCCTCTATCTAAAAGAAAGGGTTAATTGTTTCTCTGTTGCTTGTTGCTGAGAAACAATTAATCTCCTTGCACAAACAACAAAAAAACTTTTTTATTGTTTAGAGTAAATATTTTTTTTTGCTCTCTAACAAAAGATATAATTCTCACTTTAGTCTTTTAAAAAAAAAAATTAGTAAGTTGATTTTTATGAAATTCAAAATAGACCTATTTTAATTTTTTGAGGGACTAATGTGAATCTTTTCTGAATTTGTGAGGAACCACGATTCCAATTAAATGAGTTCACTTTAAATTTCATAGGAATAATTTTTTTTTGTAAGGGACTAAAGTGGAGATCATAATTTTTATTAGGAATAAAAAAAATATTTACTCAATTTTTTAAGTTTTGGTGGATCCTACAATGTGATATATGCTGGGAGAACCGAAACAATTAACCAAAAAAAAAAAAAAAAAAACTCACGAGCCATAGATTGAACAGAGCATAGAAGGTCGCAGACTATTATTACATATCACATCGTAAGGACAACTTTGTTATAAAGATTATTCATTCACATAAAACCACACAACTTAGTGTTCCTTGGTACAATCACTTGGCTTAAAAGACACAGTACCAGCCTCGAGATCATATCCTATTAAGAAGTTCATCTGAGCCAAGTTTCCATAAATAGCAATATCAGGGTCAGGAAGCATTGTGAAACATAGCACATCATCCTCCACCAATGAGAACGTATTCCAAGGTTGCAGCTTCACATCACATCCCTTGAAATGTGCTGTGATAATTGGAAGTCCCATATTGTCCCCATCATTTTTATAACAAAGGCTAAGTACACCATTGGGGTCTTCCACCCTTGGAACATGTATTAGTTTGTTCAAGGCTAATACCAAATCATCAAAAACATTTAATGGAAGATGTGTTAATGTTGTCCCAGAATCAATAATGATATTTCCCTCAATCTTCTGTGTGTCAATGTTATATGCAATTCTCTTGTTTCCTACACTAAAGCCCTCCAATGAAAGGTAGTAAAAGGTATCAATGTTCTTTGTTGCAATAGGAGTTGTAACCACTCCAGAGCCAGAAACCAAAGCATCATTACCGAAACTTATCTTGCTGGTGGAGTTAATAGATGAGGGTATTAAACAATAGGAGAATTTTTTGCTACCCAATTGAGAAATAAGTGAAAGCTTGCCACCACCAAGACCAATTATGCCAGATCCTGATTCATCAAAAGTGCCACTAGTATTATGTCCACATCCAAATACAATATTTGGAAATGAAACTGAATTGGTACCATTGCCTAATGTTAAAGTTTCAGTGGCAATGTTTCCAGCAGTGTGAGAACCATCCCCATAAGAATAACTATACACACATTTTGAATTGTGGCCACAAATTGGTTTTTCTAGTGCATTGCAAAAACTAGATTGGAATGGTATGTTATGGTATGATGAGGAATGAAGAGGATTAAAGAGTGGAAGAGTTTGGTTGTAACATTCTATGCATGGAAGACATTGTGTCCAAATTAGATCACTACCTGTATCAACTATTCCAATTACTTCAACAGGTGGAGTTCCAAGGGACATTTTCATGAGATACTCTCCACCACCAAGATTCATAGGGGCCTCTATTTTGCTTTTGCGGACTATGGTTGATTTGAAATGGTTGGCACGCTTCAATGAGCGTTTGAAAGCATCATGCAACCGATCAAAGTTGGTGATCGATGGATTGTAGAATGGTGATAAAGGCGAATCAAGGGGAATGAGATGAGTAGTATAACCACTAGCAGTGAATTCAGAGGGCCAGAAAATTAAGAGATGAAGGATGGCTAGAACATTGAAGGCTGAGTAAAGAGGTCGTAATTTGGGGAAGGCCATCTTTGACAATGAAGATGAAGGGGTGGTATAAAATGGTATTACATAGGCTGAATTTATAAAGATGAGAGCTATGTAACGGCCAAGGTAATTATGATTAGAATATCAAAGGTGTAATGTTACATATATTGATTGATATTAATTTTCAATCTTAATCTATTCCACTGCACTTTTAATTGATACCATATTCATATTATTAACTTACTCTCTTTTTTTTCTTATATCAATTTCAAGATAATATAAAGATATAAGATATATGATATATATATATATATATATATATATATATATATATATATATATATATATATATGGCTATAAGTAGATTTAAATAGTTCTAGTAGTAATTCATATTGTTATGAAGTAAGAGGTATCAGATAAGATAAGGGAAATTTGTAAGAGAGAAATCAAAGAATAAATTAGGAAGAAAACCAAAGAATGTGTATTGGGAAAAAAAATCTTATTTCATTAACAATCATAAACGAGGAAATAATTTAATATTTTATAACACATTTATATTTATATTTGAGAAGGTTATACTGTCTATTAGTTTAATCTTTCCACCCTTACTATCGTTTTTATGCCATTGGATACTTTTAAGCTCGCCCGCTACTTAAAAAAGAGAGAAAAGAAGTAGTAGAATTCAATGTTGAAATCCATTATTTAGATAGATTCGATGATGAAAATATTATACGAAAGATAAGAAAATTAAATTGATAGGGAATATAAGTTGGCTCCATTTGTATTTATATTTAGAGTTTAATTTTTCTCTATGACCGGAAATAAAGTTATTTTTGATAGAGAAAAATTAAGATGCAGAAATATAACTCACAATGTTTGAAGAGGGAATACAAATTTCATAAACTGACTCAAACTTAATATAAACCAGAAACTAAAACTGAAAAACATAACATTAAGAGACACATTACACCCAAATAAACTCTAACTTAATGACTTATTATACTACCCAAAACTGACCCATTATGATACCGTTAAGACTCATCAAACAACGTTAGTGCAGCACATGGCCGTTACATCAAACTTAAAAGACCATTGAATTTTCTAACGGACAAAAAACAAAGAGACTCTAACATTCCCTCCAAACTGATGTTCTTGAAAAAATCAGTTTACTCCAAATCCTTTGACTTTCTCCATGGAACATATGCCAAGTAATCCCCTGAGCTTTTGAAACGCAACATATTTGAGAGGCTTTGTAAACAAATCAGCAACTTGATCCTCACTTCTACAAAAAATAAGATCAATTATACCAGCCTTTGTAAGATCCCTTCAGAAATGATACTTCACATCTATATGCTTGCTTCTCCCATGTAAAATTGGATTCTTTGACAATTTAATTGCAGAATTATTGTCACAATAAATTAAAGTTGCTCCTTCTTGCTTGAAGTGAAGTTCTTCAAGAATTCTCCTTAGCCAAATGGCTTGGCATGCACAAGCTGTAGCAGCAACAAATTCAGCTTATGTGCTTGACAAAGTGACAATTGGTTGCTTCTTCGATGCCCAAGAAATAGCACCTGTACCAATCATAAAAACATAACCTGATGTGCTCTTCCTGTCATCTTGATCTCCTGCATAATCACTGTCAGTAAATCCCACTAAATCAGATTTTACACCCTTCTTGTAAAATATCCCGAAAGTTCTTGTTCCTTGCAAGTAGCGAAGGATTCTCTTGGCAGCCAACAAATGTATTTCTGTAGGATTTTCCATATACCTGCTAATTAAACTCACAGAATACATTATGTCTGGTCTTGTTGCAGTGAGATACATCAAACTTCCCACAATTTGTTTGTAGAAGGTGCTGTCAACCTTCTTTCCTCCATGATCTTTATGTAACTTCAAGCCACATTCAACTGGAGTGTGCACAGAATTACAATCCTTCATCTGAAACCTGTCTAGAATATCTTCCACATATTTATTTTGAGAAATAAAAATTCCATCACTTGATTGTGCTACACTTATGCCAAGAAAGTAATGCATCATACCAAGATCAGTCATTTCAAACTCATTCATCATAGACTTTTTAAATTCTTCAAACATAACATCACAATTTCCAGTGAATATAAGATCATCTACATATAAGCAAACAATAAGCATTTTTCCTTCATCACCAATCTTAACAAAGAGTGTATGCTCATAAGGACACTTTATAAAACCAGCCTTAAGAAAATAAGACTCAATGCGACTATACCAAGCTTGAGGGGCTTGTTTTAGTCCATAAAGTGCCTTTTTCAATTTGTAAACCTTATGCTCATTTCCAACTTTCTCATAACCAGGGGGTTGTTCAATAAATATTTGTTCCTTTAAGTACCCATGCAAGAATGCTGATTTGACATCTAGCTGGTAAATAGGCCAAGAATTTTGTGCAGCCAATGCAACCACCAACCTGATTGTATCATGTCTCGCAACAGGAGAAAAAACTTTTGTATAATCAATCCCATATTGTTGCTTGTACCCCTTGACAACCAAGCGTGCTTTGTGCTTGTCAATTTCACCGTTTTCCTTTAACTTTGTTTTAAACACCCACTTCACACCAATGATTTTGTGTCCATTTGGAAGATCAGTTAACTCCCAAGTATCATTCCTCTCAATTGCATCAATTTCAGCATCCATTGCTTTTCGCCATTTTTCTTCTTTGACAGCACTCTCAAAAGTCACGGGATCACATTCTGAAAACAAAGCAAAGTGAGTAATTGGATCTTCAATTCCAGTTACCTCATAATCTTCCATCCAAGTAGGCCTTCTTCTAACACAACGAAGAGATTGAGTTTCTTCTTCGTTAACTCCAACTACTGTTGGTGAGGATTGACTAGCTGAAGAAGTTGCAATGGACGAATTTTCAGGCATACTAGATGCTAAAATTTGCTCTTGTTCAGAATCAATATCACAAGGAACTTCGGTAGGCTGCTGCATATTCCAATCCCAAGTGTTTTCTTCATCAAAAACAACATCCCTGCTAACCACAATTTTTTTCGTCAGTGGATTAAATAATTTATATGCTTTAGATGTATCACTTACACCTAGAAAGACACATTTTTCAGCCTTGTCATCAAGTTTTTTTCTTTTCTGTTCCGGGACATGAGCATATGCGATGCATCCAAAAATTCTAAAGTGATCCACATTTGGTTTTCTCCCACTCCAAGCCTCTTCTGGCGTCATATTTCGAACTACAAAGGTTGGACTTCTGTTCAAGACATGAATACACCAGTTTACTGCTTCTGGCCAAAACGTCTTTGGAACTCTTCCTCTTACCAACAAGCTTCTAACCATGTTGAGGATGGTTCTATTCTTCCTCTCTGATACACCATTTTGTTGTGGTGTATACGCAGTTGTAAGCTCTTTTCGGATGCCATGTTCTTCACAAAAAGCTTCAAATTCTTTTGAGCAATATTCACCACCACGATCTGTGCGAAGTGTCTGAATCATCCTTCCTGTCTCATTCTCCACACGAGCTTTGAAATTTTTAAATGTAGAGAAAGCTTCTGACTTTTCCTGTAAAAAATAAACCCACGTTTTTCTAGAAAAATCATCAATGAAGGTAATTAAATATTTTTTACCTCCATTAGAAATTGGATTTATTGGACCACAAATGTCTGAATGCACCAATCGCAAAATTCCCTTTGCTCTCCATGAGTTCCCTTTTGCAAATTCAGAATGATGTTGTTTGCTAACAACACATTCTTCACATACTAAGGAATGAGGAATTGTGATTTGAGGGAGGCCTGTCACCATATTTTTCTGTTGGAGCGTCTTCAACCCACCAAAGCTCAAATGGCCATAGCGAAAATGCCACAACCATGAAGGATCTTTCATTTTAGCCATTAAACTAGATTGGATTCCTTCAATCTTTAATGGAAACAATCTGTTTGAACTCATCTGAATAACAGCAATAGCACCTCTAACAGAATCATATATTTCACAAACACCATTTTTAATAGTGATCACATAACCCTTTTCTTGTAATTGGCCAGCACTCAATAAATTACTTTTCAAATCAGGAACATACAATACATTAGATATTGTTTCCACAAAACCATTCTTGGTTTTTATTTTAATGTCACCTTTTCCCATTACTTTCACAGTAGAATGATCACCAAAACTCACAGTAGATTGAAAATTTTCATTCAGATGAGAGAAAGAAGACTTACTACCACTCATGTGGTTGCTACAGCCAGTATCCACATACCAAACATCTGGCTCAATTTGCTTTTCATCTTTAGCAACCATCAATAAGGTTTCACCTTCCTCCTTTTCTGCAAAGTTTGAACTTTCTCCTTTTTCTTTGCTATTTGGCAGCTTAGTATAACATTCAGATTGATAATGACCAAATTTATGACACCTGAAACATTCTACCTTGGATTTATCAGGGGCTCCTCCTCTGCCTCTGCCTTGAAATTGATCATTATTGGCTCTGAAATTAGTGGACCTTCCTCTGCCTCTGCCTCTGTCTCTACCTCTGCCTCTACCCCTTCCTTGAAAATTGTTGGAACGAGTATCGGTAGAAGCCTTTAATGCTTTCTCATCTGTGTCTTCCTGTTTGAACTTCTGTTCATGCACCACCAATGAGCTCTGCAATTCATCAAGTGACAAATCATCTATATCTTTAGATTCTTCTATAGCACAAACAACAAAGTTAAATTTTGCTGTTAATGATCGAAGAATTTTTTCTATGACAGTTATTTCTTCTGTCCTGCCTCCATGAATTCGCATTTTATTGACAATGGTCATCACGCGAGAGAAATAATCTGCAATTGATTCTCCCGACTTCATTCGAAGTGTTTCGAATTCCGAGCGTAAAGCTTGAAGCTGCTGCCTCTTTGCTCTTGCAGAGCCTTGATACTTCTTTTTCATGGAGTCCCAAATATCCTTAGAAGTTTCTTTGGAAAGAATGGTTTCCAAGATAGAACGGTCAATGGCCTGGAAGAGATAATTCTTCGCCTTCAAATCCTTCAACTTTACTGCTTCATGAGCTGCTCGTTGTGCTGCTG